GGAAGGAAGAGGGAAAGGCTTCAGGGCATTTTGTTTTCATTTGGGCCAGTTTGACAACTGTTCTCTGTCTACACACCCACAAAATAATAATAATAATAATAACAAAAACATGAATACCTTAGCCAAAAAAATCTAAATCATTCATCTAATTTTGCCTCCTTTTTTTTATCAACTGATTAGCACTGAAAGCTTTTTATAACCAAATCAGGCCCCCTATCATTTATTTTCCAATTTGAACTAAAAACTGTACTGTTTTTCTTTCCAAACAATTTAATCTATTTGACTATGATGATTTTCAAAAAGTTATATAGTGGTTCCCTCAAAAATGGATCAAATAGCGATTAATTACTCTACTTCATTTTACATTGCACTTTCTCTTCAACTCATGTTTTCTAAGTTGTGTTCTCTAGTCCCTATGCTGTCTACCCAAGCACTCACAAAGCCTTTTCTTTATGGCAAAGTTACTACCCAAGTAGTCCCTGCACTGCTTGTGACCCATACGAAGAGTAGAGACCTTCACAATGCATGATGATGCTGCCATGTGGGAGGGATGGGGAAGTAGAGGGTTTGCTTTGTTGCATAGTGTTTAATCTCATACTCTAGATGTGTTTCTTTTCCACGGTAATATTACAGTGTGTGAGCTAGTGGTATTTCTATGAAGAAAAAATTTGAAGAACTGACTCTTAAATGAATTCTTCATAACACTTCCCACATACACAGTTCTCCCCCAAACCAGAAGTGTAGCAAAACATCTGAACTCTGTTTGGTCCAGGACCCTGACATCCATGCAGGCCAGGTGCAGTCAGAGAACTCAATAAAGGAGCAAGCACATCTCCTCAGAGTCGTGTTAAAAGTTCCCATATACTCTTTGGGGAAAATAGAGAGGAAGGATAAGAGAGGATGAGGGAATTCAAAACTATAGGAGAAAATAGCTGCAGGTGTCAGACTAGGACTAAAAAAGGCATGGGTTCTAGGCCTAAATTTGCAACTAATGGCCCATGTGATATTGGTCAAACTATTTAACTCCTCAGTTTCCTTATATGTAAAATAAAGGGATTGTACTGGATGACTTTAAGATTACTTCCAGCTTTGAATTTGTTCTGTTCTTTCTCCACCCACTGTCCCCAGCTATCTCCTCACCCCTGCCATTCTGTAGAATTGTGTAAGACTCTGATGTGACGTGAAACAGATTTCCAGGGTTATGTGGTAGCCTGAATCTCTGGTAAAATAGACTAATTACCCATGTATCAGCAGGGAACATTAATATATAGCAGGTTTAGAAAGGAAAATGAAGAAATAGAATCCCAACTCTAGATCTCTGTAAAATTTTGAACCATCTAACTCTGTTTTTGCCCTTGCATCATAAATTGAATCTCTTCCATGAAATTAATGCTTTAACTCTCAGGTATTAGGAGTAAAATTTTCACCTGGAAATCCCTGGAGGGAAGATGATATATAACTCCCCCACCAATAAATTAGCTAAAGTGAAGATAGATTTTGACATCTTCTCTACAGCAAGTAGAAATTCCCCTGGTGATGGAGAAAAAAAAAAATCTGTGGCCGGAGTTTCTGTGTAAAACTAGAGGGAACAAAATATTTTTGCTTAAAGCAAAAAGCAAAAATTTAGAATATGTCTCTTAAAGTTACCTTGGGTTTCAGAGCTTTCCCTACTTGACATAAAGTCAGACAAATACAAAAAAACTGTATGGGCTCTCACTTTATTTTTGTCTCGTTGTACTTTTTAATTCATTCATCTTTCTGTTGTAATCTCTGTTCTGCTTGCTCTTCGTTAATTTACCCATAAATATGATTACATGGTAGGATGATACCATATTGAAACTTCTATCTTTAGGTGTATGTGCAAAAATGCAAAGCCTCAAGGAGCACCATTTTAGTGTGTCCCAAGAGATGCCTTTTGCATTTAATGAGCAATACCATGTAGAAAATTAATGTTGGTCTGTCAGACTTTGTTGATGTCAAATACCTCATGCCATCTCCAAACCTATCAAAAACCAGTGTGCCTTCCCTCCTCTTGACATAGAAGTAGGTAGACTACAGGTGTGGAATGAATGATGTACACACTGCTAGATATGGTTGCTTTCTCAGTTTTCCTCAACTATTTTTGGTGGTTGTTACAAGAAAGAGTTTGACTGGATGGTGTGGTGGGCCTCACAGTGATGTTAAAAATAAAAAGTATCATCAGTAATTTTAAAGTATGCTACTCCAACCCCTAAAATTGTAATAGAACCCATGGGAGAGAATTCATTCTATTCCAATCCAACAAGCTTGTATTAAATCCCATCTGTTTTGTGTGTTAAGAAGCTTGGCTAGGTGCTAGCCATACAAATACCCCCCCAAATTTTTTTACATATACTTTTATGCTCCTTGAGGGCAGGGATTATATTTATAATTATTTATTATTTATAATCATGTTATATAATATCTATGCTTAATATATTATATTACATATGCTATATTTATTATTTCTTATGTCTATCTATGTATGTATACATGTGTATATCTCTATATCTATATCCCTGTCCTCCAGGAGCTTAAATTCATCTGGAGGGAATACAGGTCCATGCATGAAAATTCCTGAAAAATGTCCCTCAGTAACAGGGCCAGGGTGTAGAACAAATAGCCTTATTCCACTCAGCTATTTCTTCTCTAGTTGAAAGACCTTACCCTTCAAACACATCATTGCACTGTAGGGTGTGTAACTATATACACATAGGTAAATAAATAGATATAAAGACAGATAGGTATACATAACATATTATGTATACATATGTGTGTGTACATATATACGGGGCAGATAGGTGGTGCAGTGGATAGAGTGCCAGGCCTGGAATCAGGAAGACTCATCTTCCTAAGTTCAAAATCTGGCCTTAGACGTTTACTAACTGTGTGATCCCATATTAGAACCACACTTCTTTTCAGGACAATAAAGCATTTTGCCTTGCAAAGAACCAGAATAGTTAATTGAGGTCTGTCCCTATTTTGAACATTGGGGCCAATTATAAAAATAAGGATCTACATGGTTTAAACTGCAAGACAGTAGAGATAAAGGTTGGAAGATGCTAGGTCCTCAAGGAGAAGAAGGGAATCAGGAGAGGGGAAAGGTGAAGGACTGGGAGACCGTGGGATATTTACCATCATGTGGCAAATCTGATGTACTTTTGCTTTTGAGTAATGGGGTACCACGCCTCAAAAGCCTCACACTTGTTTTCAGTTGAGCATTTAAATGAATTGCATCCACATCCTTTACATCAGTGATCACATTTATTTGAGTAGCACCAGATGGTACTTTAAATTATTCTAATTGTCATTGCCTGGGCACCTATTTGTGTTATTTGAGCTTCAGTGAGCAGATGGCTAACTAGAGATCCCTACTTGTGATGCAGGCCAAATTCCCCTCTGACCAAATATAGATCCTGGGTAGTGAGGAGAAAGACTACTGGTATTTGATTTGTAATACAATCAAAATAATTTCATTTCTGACTTTGTTTCCTGAAAAACACATCTTTTGTTCTATTAATCATACTTCACTTCAGACATTGTATTCCCTATCATTTTGTATAAAGGAGGACAGGAAATGAGACGTTGGGCATGTTGTAAAACTAGGGCCAAATAATGTTTGTCAGAACACAATTTCCTGCATCATCCTGCAAAGCAAGGATTATGGAAGCTAACCATGCCTGGGCCATTCAACGCAGATTAAATAAAAAGCTTGACACAGCTATTTTTATGAGGCCGAGAGAACATATCCCCCTTCTCTCTGAATACATTAGGAGGACGAGTGAGTGCATATTCCTTTAAAAAATAAATTGATATCAGTTAATGTTCATTCAAATTCATTTACTTGTTCTTGGACATGTTTGACCAGTAATTGATGCTATGCTTTTTCCCATGTGTCCTTTGAATGACACATTAAACCAGCCACATTAACCTAAGTCAAAAGTATTGTATTCCTTTAAAGTGGATTACAGACTGATTTTATTAAAAAAAAAACTTGCCAGAATCCATCCAATCCAAATAAGTTCTGTATTCTTCAAAGTAGCCACCTGGGTGGACTACTCCCCAAGAACGTTTTCCTTGTTCAGAACTTCAGAACACTTGGAATTCCTTCTTTAGAATTACTTTCAGAATATTCTTAATGGTCTTGAGTCTTCATCCCTTGATTGTTTTTTTTTAAATGACCAAAAGTAATTTGCAACTAAATATGATAAATAATATCAACCTGTATTATAACGTTGAACAGCCAGAAAATATAAAGGGAAATATATGTAACAGATATTAACCTCTAATTTCCCAAAATTCCATTGACTTCCTGTAAGGTCACCTGTGGGGAAGTTTGATATTAATGATGTTTGTGTACAGGTGTTTTTGCTCAGCTTGTGCCTTCCTAATGACTGTTTAAAGATAAAAATGAAGTGTGAGGGTAAAGAGACTTTTTTGTTACATGGTTCGTAACTGACTCTGAAGGCAATTACACAAAGAGAAAATATATTTTCTGCAGCAACCCCGGAATAAGTATGCATCCTCAAAAGGTGCTTTGTTGAACAGTACTCATTTGAGTTTATAATAAAATTTGGTATGTTTATTTAAAAATCAGTCTCAATACCTATTATTGTCCCACTTCATTTGAATATTCCTCTTCAAACATGGCAGGCATTTTTACATTGTTTTGGGAATATGCTGAAATTGAGAACAGATATTTACCCAGAAGTTGAGAAAGAAGAGGAGTTTAAGCATCAAACGTTATTAGTACTCAACCTCTACTTGGAAAACTTACATTGTAAATATGAATGAAGATTTTTTTTTCAAAGTGCAATAATCAAATCACTCTTGGCTGTTACTTTCTGGTTTTATAATATGGAATTTTATTAAATGATGTAAATGTTAATACTATAATATACTCATGCAGATACATTATTTCATTATTAAAGGGGTTTTTTTTTCCTATTTCTAATCTCTGCTCCTTTTCTCTCATTTCTCAGCAATGGCAAGCCGGCAAGTGGACATTGCAACTCAAGGCTGGTTCATTGGTCTGATGTGCGCTGTTGCGCTTCTCATCTTGATTTTGCTGATTGTTTGCTTCATCAGAAGAAACAAGGGTGGTAAATATCCAGGTAAAAGAAGACATACATGTTGCTAATTTATAGTTGCATTATTATACCTTAAAACCATGATCAGTTCATTAATTGTAAAGGGGGGGTGCCCATGTCCTCCTAAAGCCAGTATTTCAAAACCTTTTCTTTTGACCCAATGTGTACAACAATAGAAATATTTTCAAGAGAAAGAACAAGTTTTTGTGGGTAAGCCCATCTGTGTTCAAAAAATGTCAGTGGTCCCATCTCCTCCTAGTGCTCTGAGTAACTAAGAAGTTTTAAGGAGCAGCCTAGAATACTTTTCTGGATCTTTACTGTCCAAAGAACAGCATTTACATAATCTCTTGAGATAAGGGTTGTTTATTTCTCCTTGTATAAGACATACGGCAATAAACCATCCCTGTAATTTCCCTGACCAAAACATTATGGCATAGTAGACAGAGTACTATATTTAGAATCAAGATCTTTTATCAAAACTCATACACTTTCGAGAATAGAGGACAAGAAAGGTTAAATAACATGCAAGTTGCATGACTTTAATCAAAGTTATTTAACCTTGTCCTCTATTCTTCATCTACTAAAGGGGGGGGGGGCATGGGACTAGACTTCTAAGGTCTTTTCCAGCTATAAATCTGGGATTCTATTGCTCTTCCCTGACCACTATTCCACAGTACATGTGGATCCTTGAAGCTAAAGACTGGCTTATTTTTATAAAATTTGTAACCTCAGTACTTATGGTTCCTGGAACGTAGCAGATATTTAATAAATGCTTTGCATTCACCCATTCATTCCTAAAGTCCTGCTCTGATGCCTCTTGGTGGTGTAGAGGTGACCTTGGATTCTTACAGGCTATGCTAGCTATGTAGGTCCTAATTAACTAGAAAGATTTTGAGACAAATGAAAAGCCCAAGAAATGGAGTTTCTGGGTAATTAATAATCAATATATTAATTAGGCTAGCAAACAATCAATAAATCGATGGTCCGTGGTCTGCCTCAGTAACCAAAGACAAACATGGAGATCCCTGAATGTTTAAATACCTTCGGAAAAGGAAGTGTCCCTGACAGGTGAAAATCATTACTGGTTGGTGAACAATTAATGAGGGGGGAGACATATTAATGAGGAGGTGGGCTAAAAGTCTTAGTTTCTGCTAAGAATGTGACTTGATCATGAGACTCAGCTGCCTCCAGCAATCTGGACAAAGGAATCCATCTCAACCCAGACCAGTCTGATTGATTTTCTTCTTCATAAGCTGGATCACCCTAAATTCTAATGGAGGTTTCCAAGGACAGGGGCTTTTTTACTAAGGGCAAGAATTCACCTAGATTACATTCTACTTGTAAGGTCTTCTAGTTGGGTAGGGGTCCCACCCAAGATCACAGAGTATGTACCTGGAGGATTTAGGTAATATCATATATCACCAATGTCCTTCTGAGTCTGACTGAATGACCTGCAAGGGCTGGTCACTGAATGAGGAAATAGAAAGGAAAAATTTCAATCCTGATTTTAATATTTTGTTATTAATATAATTAAAATAATCATTTCTCTCAATTTTAAGTATGATCTTGATGAAGGACCATATCTGTAAGTCTGAGGACCGTTCTAGAAAAATTCAGAGGTTCATTACCTTTGTCATCACCCCATAATGGATTTTTTGGTTACATCAACTCATGAAGACAGTCTAATAAACTGTGACACAGTTGTGATCTGCATTGGTAGAGACAGTAACCATGCCGATGAAATCACAGATCACATCTAAGAGCTTTAATGGTTTTGAAGGGCCTCGTGTGTTTCTCCAAATTGGAGTGAGACCTATGTGGCCAAATCTGCAAAGTGGTCAATTTCTAAATATGGACTATTAACCTAATGAGAGCATGTGAAAAAGACTAAATATAAACCCTGTAGAAACCTTAAACATTTTCCTTCATTATGAAACATAAGGAACATAAGGCTTCCACATTAATGAAACCTTTTCACAAAAACCCAAATGTTTAGATGTTGCCAAGTGTTCATTTTCTTAAGCTCCCCCACAATTTCTGGGAAATAAAAGTAAACTTACTGCCAACTGCTGTATACCTTGAACATCTACTACATACTAGAAATAATTATGATGATAACACTGGGAAATCAAAAGAACCAAGAGAACTAAAAATCTTGAACAGGGAGATGCCAGCATCAATGGCTAATGATGCCATTTTGAATGTTTTAGTCAAAGAAAAAGAAGATGCACATGCTGATCCGGAAATTCAGCCTATGAAGGAAGATGATGGAACTTTTGGAGAATACAGGTTAGTACCTACTATGCATCATCATTCTTATATTTTCTGTCAGTCAGGCACTCTATTTAAGCACCCACAACAGAAAATTTTTCTTGGCCTAGAAAGTTTCCTTCTTAACATTTGGCACTTTTCTCAAATATCAAGTATAAATTTAGTTTGAAAAATGTATAAATTCCAAGTCCTTTACTGCTAAAAAGTATTTCTGCTCTTTGTGAAATGTTTCTATTTTTTTATGGGGCTTAGCGGTAGGATATTGATGGAAGACATAGTTCCGTAGAGATCCATTGGTATTCCTCCATATTTCTGAGAATTATTTGACACTGTCTGTTCCCAGAGCCTTGTAATCCCCTTGTGCCTTCCTACTGCCTTGGAGTTAAAGGTTGTTTTTTAATAGTATGAGGGGTAAAAGCACTACATGCTTTGAGAGCCCCCATTCAGTACAAAGATGGGGTAGAGAATAAAAGGCATTTCTCTCCTGCTTTCTGTTATCTTTTGGTATGGAAATGGCCAAGAATACAGTTCTAGAAATTGAGCACCCCATAGCCATGATTACACAGACAAATTATTTCAGTGTCCCCTGGCATTTCCTCCATGCACCTGGTATGTAAATGTTCCCTCTACCACCATACACATACTTAACAACCTAATGAAAAGAAAGGAATAATATTCTTGGTACTTGGAAATACCCTTGTCTCCCCTCCTGGAAGAGTAGCTGTACCCAAATGTCCTTATTTTACAAAGTTTAATTTTTTAAAAACTGCTGTTACTTGCCAAATGAATGTAAATATTCATTTGTAAGAATTTGCATTTCAATAAGATATCAGTTTTAGCCTTAAATGAAAACCCTAGAAATAATTTTTACTTTTTAAAAAGTATTTAATCCATATTAAGATCATGCATATGTTAGATCAATAGTGGAAAAGTGTTGTTTTTTTCCCACCTGAAAAGATTTTATATGGCAAGATCTTTTTCCAAGAATGTTTCTAACTTGGTAACCAGAAGCTAGGACTAAAAAAAAAATCACTATGGTTAGGCCACAAAATTGACTTAGAGGAGCAATCAAGAAACTACAGTCAATTTTTCTCCCAAGCCACCAGCACTGCTTTCTACACAGGCTCCAAGTGATAGCCACTGTAATTCTCCATTTTATTGTATTCTCCCATGGTATATACTACTATAGACAATATTGTGTAGCCTTTGCTATTTTGTTTTTTTTTTTTAATGCCAAGAGGCTTTTAAAAATAATTTCAGCAAATGTGCCTGCCAAAACTCATCTGATTTTTGAGATTTTTCCTTTTTTGGGAGGTATGGCAATAAATAGATAGATAGATAGATAAATAAATAAATGTCATTCAATTAACATGTGTTTATTTAGTGCCTGCTATGTGCTAGGCACAGTGCTAGATACTGGAGATACAAGTAGAAAGGAAATCATCCCTATTCTTAAGGAGCTTAATTAGAATCATAAAAGGCCCTTCCAGTGTAAAACTGGAAAGTGACACAATAATCATTTGTCAAACAATATACTTAGCCAATATAGAAAGAGCCTTTGTGATCTTTGATTTGAACTTAATTGTTTTTGTTTTTGTTTTTTGTTTTTTTAACTTAATTTTAAAAAAAAAAGTAATACCTATGTCTATACCCAATCCATTAGCCACATACTTATGACCAGAGTGTTGTATAGAACTCTCAATGGTTAAACTTCTTATGACCCTCTAGGCAGCATTTCATCTACCATAGTTTTAATGATTTAGTCTTGGTTTGGTTCCATCATTAAGGAAATGCATTCCTTATATCCCACAGCAGAACAAAACTAATCTGCTATTTATGCAAATATGTTCTTGCCCAAATATATTTTAAATAAAGATTAATGACTTTGTTAAGCTTGTCTCAGTACTGAATTGAGGAGGGCATTTGTTTCTTTCATAGGTGAAGATTTTGGTAGTCCAAAAGAATGTTTTTGAAATATGTTTATATAATGTATTAAGACCTTTTTACTCTGTCTCTGTAGACCTCTTAATTTAGGATGGGGAGAAAAAGAGTTGTACATAACTGTGAATTGTATACTGTGGCACTGAAACTTTTTCCATACCAAAAGAAAAAGCTTATTGTGAATGCCAAAGGACAGTTTTCATTTTATTTGTATGGGTGATATGACACATTGGCAAATTTTGGAAAATTTGCGCATCCATACTCCTCATTTTGGTTATTTCTTTTTCATTATCACTAGGGGTAAATGTGCTACCAAAGAAGTTCAAAAACTTAGATCTGGATTGGGAGCAGAACATTCACTAAGTGGTCCCCCACATTTGGAGACATTTTCTTTCTAATTCCCAGTACCCTGCCTCTCTTGGTTCTGATTTTTCCCTATAGCAGAAACTTCTTAGACTAAATTGTTTTTTGAGACAAGCAAGTATATAGTAAGGTTAAGTAATTAACAAATTCTTACTTAAATTTCTTCAAATTTCCCCAAAATGAGGCTAAAATTTCTTGAGACTTGCAAATAAGTAGCAAGGGTGAAGGACTTAACCAAAATCATACTAAATCTCTTCAAATTTGCTCAAAATAAGACTTAAAATTTCATGAGACAAGCAAAGATCTAGCAAAGGTGAAGGAGTTAACAAACATATTCAAATTCAAGCTAGGACTTCTGTGTTGATTTGGTGACCTTAGTACATGAACCCTCAAACCTGCCCATTTGAATAGTTTTTCTAGTACACAATAAGGACCTTATAGAAGTCTCTAGGGATCCCCCTCCTCCTCCACTTGAAGTAGGTGATAGCTTATCCTAGGTGAATGGTCCACAATGCTGATTCCATGTGTTTTACTGAATGTGTTCCTCTCCCCTCCCCCGCCCAAGAGTGGCCATTAACTACCTTGGCAGTTATTTTTAAAATTCATTTATGTACAGATTATTCGGTCTAAAATAGGTCCCCTGTTGTCTTATTTATCTTGCTGGAGCTATGCCTCATTATCTGCTGAAAGTTGGTATTACTTTTGTATGCTTGTCAAATAAATGATTGACCTTCATTTTATCAGTGCTTTTCTGCATACTGCTTCTTATGTGCTTGGTTCTGTTTAAATATCCTTGGGCTTTCATGAAATGAATCTGGCACTTGGTCTACTGCTCCATTTTGGCTTCTCCACCAACCGTTTGCTGTCAAAGCTTTGCCAACCATGATCATGTCCAGCAGGCCCGAAAGGAATGCTGACCTTTATTCTCACGCCACCAAAACACTCTGGGATTTAAATCTGGCTTTCCAATTGTGATTGAAGGGACAGAGCAGATAAATCAAAGGCAGTGTGGACCTGCTCGAGACTATCTTCTCATCACTTCTGATGTTTTGGGATTCCAAAGTGATGGATAGCAAGGGTAATGCTAATGCTGGCATAATCATAGTGCTACAATCATGAGTGTTTACAGCTCAAAGTTAATTCATATGTGATATGTTTGCAAAACACTTCAAAAGGGGGTAATTTTTTACATACCTGTACATATATATATGGTTTCTCAGTCAAGGAAAGTTATATTTCTTGACTTCTTGAGTGGTAAACCAGAATTTTATAAATGAAACTGAAACACTTATCACATATGTGATTACATTGTTCACTCTGGAGGGTCCTAAGGGAGTTAACGGTTCTGATGAGTGTCTTAGATATTTTTTAATTAATTGTTTAATTTTTCAAAAGAGGGTGAAAATTCACAAGGAAGAGTCCACAAGCAAAATCACTTAGAAAAAACGTCAATCAGTCATTGCAGCTTCGTGACTATTTTTATACCTCAGTGACGCTGCCTCAGAACTTTACCCTTTGGTTGATTCTGCTATCACGTAATATGTTTAAAAGACTTTTTGATGCCACACTTCATGGGAAAAAAAAGATTCCAGGTGTTGACTGTAGAATTTATTCATTTATTTATTATTCATTTTTGACAACACATTAAAATTCCATTCCCTTCCCTGGATCACCAGGGTCCCTTTCATACTTTGCACCCCTAGGGAGCAGTAAGCATGACACTTTTCATTAAATTCATGCTTTCCTAACTCTAAATCATAGGATGCTGACCATGCCAGTAGGCTCAAAGTCAAAACTTCTGTCAAGACAAGAAATTTTTTAAAAAATTAATTCTTCCTTTATTCCTTCTAGTCCAAGGAGTGCCAGCAGCTCCCTGGGTAATTCAACTCTTGCCCAGCCAGAGTGTAGTTTACAAGGTGCAAAAAGAGGGAAGGAGGGACTTCCCATGGCTAAATTTGTTTTGTACACGCTACCACCTCCCACCCTTGCTCCAATACCATGCAGGTACCTCTGGTAGAAATCTGCACTTCTCTTTGTTTATTTCTTTGATTATACAGACATTAGAATCTGCATCCTTTCTAGCATATAGAAAAATCAGAGAAACAATGCAACCAACTGTGTAAGTATTTTTTCATTCTTTAGATCAATCTTTTGTTAAAACCAAAAAGAACCTAGATCAAAAGTCATACCATTGATGGTCAATTAAAGTTATTGTCTACTACATTGACCCAAACTCCCATTGTATGAATCCTGTAATTCCTGTGACTAGGGAGCCCATGTCATACATTCACTAACACATACTATATGAGATGAAGATGCTTATTATGTAGTATGGGGCAATCACATAATTCAATGGAGGAGAGAAATGTATTCAGTAGAATACCTTATGATAGATATTTGTTGTTTCTTAAAGAGACAAGGTAATACAGGAAATGGTCAGTCACTTTAGCTATACAAGAGAGTAACTAGGACATGAGATTCAGGAAGTATCCCAACACATTCTCCATTGCTGCTGAGTTTCACTCAATAGACACTTACTGAGCATGCTCTACTGTATATAAATCATAATATCCCCCTGAAATTAATTATTTAGGTCATGGGGAGGAAAAATACAGACCAGAGCTTTGCTGTAATGTTCTACTGAGGTTCTGTATAGCAGAACTGCCTTGTAAGTGAGGAAATTCAGTAACTAAATCCCTCTAGATGGAAATCACATTAAATCAAAGACCATTGAATAGCGGATACTATTATAACAAGTTTCCAGTGCAAAAGAAGATATGCTTCAAAGGAACGGAGCATTCATCAGGGAGTGTTTCCTGGACTAATACATTCCACATCTTCATAGTTGGTCTTCATGAAATGTTCTATGCAAAATAGCAGGATAACAGAAATCCTACTGAGGGAAATAATGGACACAAAAGCATTTGGAAGAATACAGTGCTATACAAATCATTATTATTGTTATTATAATCATTATTAATTGTGGTATATGTGAGCATCCAAATGAATAAATATGAAAGGTAAAATTACCAACAGACAGCTTTTATCAAGAAAGAAACATTGCTGAAATGTTTGACTTATCTATCTAGTACATTGTTAGAACAGTTTAAAGAAGATACACCTTTACTTTTTTCTAACTGAACAAAGCTTCAAAATTGCCCTTCCTTCTTCCAGCATGAGAAATTGTGATGTATGTTATCCCCCTTTTTGTCCCCCTTACTGGTTATGAATGTTTTTAATGAATGACTTAATGAATAAAGTGTTTACTAAGTACTTCCTATGTGCAAAGCACTATGCTAAGCACTGGAGATAAAAATAGAAAGGCAAGACAACCCCTGCTTTTATGAAACCCATATTCTAATGGTGCAGACAATACATATGGAAGGTTTTAGCTGCAAGTCAATTCTGCTTAATATAATGTGCTATGGATTATTTCAGAATAAAAGGAATTTTAATCTTTGAAGCTTTGGGGATGTCAAACATTAATACTTGATTTTCCTGTTCATGAAATGAGTTTTCCATTTGTTTATGGTTTTTAAAAGCATTTGTAACTTCTACTTCTCACTTGTAGAGCCCAGAGTTAGACAGTAGAGTATAGCCAAGTTGGATCATGGTTTTGAAATAGTCTGTCCTCCAGTTTCCAAGTACACATTTATGTTGAAGGAGAAAACTTTCAAAAATCAGACTTGGCAAGTTACTTCTCCTTGCCAAGTTACTGCCCCTTGGGAAGCTTTAAAGATGGGAAAGCCAAAGACTAATATGTTGTTCCAGGCTTCAGACTTGTAAGCTCTCACATTCTCCACCAAGAATACAAAATTCACACTCAACAAGGGCTTTTTCTGGGGCAGCTAGGGGGTGCAGTGAATACACAAATTCTTTTTAAGATTGCATTAGTAGGGGCAGCTAAGTGGTGCAGTGGATAGAGCACTGGCCCTGGACTCAAGAGGACCAGAGTTCAAATCCAGCCTCAGACACATAACACTTACTAGCCATGTGACCCTGGGCAAGTCACTTAACCCCATTGCCTAGCCAAAAAATAAACAATGGTTTTTTCTTTGTTCATCAAAGAGTTATTTCTTGAATAGAATCTCTCTAGCCTACTTCTGATTCTTGAAGTAAGCTGGATTGCTTTTCTGTTTTTCAAACTTTGTCCCTTCTCTTTTGGTCTGCCTCTTGCTTTTGAATAAGGGTTAAATTAGAATGGAGGTTTTTAGAAGCTAATAGAGAAATCCATGCTTCTTATCTGACAGATTAGTTTTCCTCCTTCCTTTTCAGATTAAATTCGTCTTCCCTTGTATTGATGCACATTTTTCTGGCAGAATAAAAAAAGAAATGAGAATGACCAATCTTGATTTTTGAGTTTGCAGGGTGGAGTCTAGGGTTAGGAGGTAGGAGGGGAGTCATGCAAAGAAATGAATATAATAGAGATGAAAAAATGGTAATGATGATCTCTTTGGTGCACTAAATGAGCCCATCATGAGTTAATTTCAACATGACATTTGACAAATTCTCCTATGTAATTTGTGTAGACAAGATGGTGAAATGTGAGTTTCTTGATAATATAGTTGGGAGAATTTTATAACTGGTTTAACAAGCATATCTTAATATTGTTCATTCATAGATTGATATCAATATGAAAGGAAGTTGCCAGGGGCATGACACAGGGTTATGTACTTGTTTCAGTCCCATTCAACATTTTTATCAACAACCTGAATGAAGAAATAGAAGGCATGCTTGCCAAATTTACAGATAATAAAAAGTATATAGAGCTCAAGATTCAAAAAGATCTAAAAAGACTAAAGTGATGCCTCTTCCCTCCCCCCCCATAAAAAAACAACTATAAGATGAAATATATCAGTAATCAATATTGAGGCCTGTAATTACTTTCAGAACATAAATTTCATTATTATGGGATTAGAGACATCTGGCATCAGGACTTAGTAAAAAATACATGGGGGAAGGAGGGACATGGGAGTATTAAACTGCCAGCTCAATATAAGCCAATTTTATGATTTGGCTACTAAAAAGTCTAACACAAACAGACTATATTAATAGAAGCACAATGTCCAGATGTAGGGAGGCAATAACCCCACTGTACTCTGCAGTGGTCAGGTGACATCTGGACCACTATGTCTGAGAATGAACACTCATAAAATAGAATAGTAATTTGGAAACCATGTTATATGAGGAGCAGTTGAAGGCACTAGAAATGTTAACCAGAATACAATTTACAGGAAAAATGTCAATTGCCTTCACGTATTTGAAGGACTATCATTTGGAAGAAGAATTAGACATGTTATATAATAGAATATGATTGATGGGGCAAAAGTTATAGGGAGACAGATAATAATTCATTATAAAGAGACATTTTCTAACAAAGCTGACCCTACAAGGATTGTCCTGCCACATTGAGTTCCCTTTTATGGGGAGTGTCCAGACAAAAGCTGGATGACTATTTGTCAGAGATATCACGTAAGAGATTCTCACAGTGGCTGGATACAGATGACCCCTAAAATTCCTTCCCACTTGAAGATTTTGTGATGCTTTCCTAACTACTAGAATTGGTTTCTTGGGGAAGAATCTGGTTCAATATTTTAGCAACTAAAATCATTGCATTACAGAAATAATTTCTTCATCAAATATAAATCCCTACTAGTATTGAGTTAGAGTAGGTTATTTTCTGAAGATTCCTTCTTGAAAAAAAGTTCTGACGTGAATTGGTGGATAAAGAGCTAAAGTGTTGGTCTTGATCAGAATACATTGTTGGGAAGGATATATAAGATGTTCTAAGATCAATTGATTGCCTTTTTTAATACCATACACAAGCTTCCTCTTTTCGCTTATTTCCATTCTTTGAAATAGAAAATAAAAGTATATTGGCTTCTCTCTTTTTTTCTACTTTAAGTAATCTATTAAAGGGTTGTTGTTGCTTGTTCTTCATTCTCGAAGAGAACCTAGGTCATAAATGACTATCATAATTCTGTGAGGTTGAATTAGAACACACTCCCTAGTTCACTCCATCCAAAGAACATACTGAGACCTTTGAGCAGAGATGTAAGCAAACTCTAAGTCTTGCAAAACATTATTGATTTATTTAATCCTCAGATTTCCATCAGAACTGAATAATTAAAAGGGAAGGTGTTGTAAGTGTGTGTGGTTTGAGGGCAGCAAGTGAAGACTGGAAGGAAAGGAACAGTGTTTTTAAAGGTGTTCTTTTAAAATTTTCCATAGTATCACTCACAATATTCAGAATATGGCAATGTGAGAGTAATTTTACAGACTTAATACTCAATGAAAATTATATCTTTACAACTTAATGAATCTTCACCCCCCATTAACTGGCATTCTTACAGGAAAAAAATAAACTACTGTACACTTTCAGGAAATGGATTTTGCTTTTCTTCTTAGGCTATTTTCATTTGTTTCTTCTGCACCCTTTTAATGGAATGTGTAGGTCTCTTGAAAGGTAAGGTTGAAGTTTGTAAGCCTGGCCTGCATTCTATAACCAAAATGATTTGAAATGCAACACTTTGCTTCCTTTTTCTAGATCAGAAAGAATCAATATTTTTCATTTAACCAAATTCATTCTTCATTCATATTCAAGGAATCCAAGAGATTAAAAGGTTTAACAGACTAACTCCAATACCTATCATAAGCTTCCCCCCCCAACTTTGGGAATCAAAACAGTGGTTTCTCAGTGACATTTCAACCCCCTTCTTATTTAATGCTTGCCATTATTTCTAAATTGCTTTCAAATCAGGGATTAAATCTCTCATTGAAAGGAACATGCACCATAGGCAGTTCATTCTCTCTACTAAAGCGCTCATATTTAAACCATCACTGTACCTGATTTCCATGACAACCACATCATATTAATTTGGTGACTAGGTTTGGCTAGGGTACTTCGAGACTGCATAAGCTTTGACATAATCTGCATGCACATGCTCTTTTGTTTATTAGTTTCAAAAAAAATCTACACAAAGATAGGTTTTAACCGCAGTGTTTTGCTGTCTTGTTTTTCTCCTCCAGTGATGCAGAGGATCATAAACCTTTAAAAAAGGGAAGTCGGACGCCTTCAGACAGGACCGTGAAAAAGGAAGATAGTGATGATAGTTTGGTTGACTATGGAGAAGGGGTAAATGGCCAGTTCAATGAGGATGGTTCCTTTATTGGACAATACAGTGGTAAGAAAGAGAAAGAACCAGCAGAAGGAAATGAAAGTTCTGAGGCTCCTTCTCCTGTCAATGCCATGAACTCCTTTGTTTAACGTTTGAATTCACTGCCGACACACCCGTATGCTCCGTGATATTTTTTTTAAAGCACTTGTATGTCAGCCTTCTCACACTGTGAACATGTAGGTAGAAAAGCTACTTTCTACTGTATGTTTATACTATGAGACAGATAGATCAAACATTTACACAAATGAATAACTCAGTAAAAGTGGTATGTTAGTGTCAATTGGAATACAAAATGCAGACTTTTCGTTCATAAAATGCATATCTTTTAAAAATTTCTTCAGAACTGACAAATAATACAACAACTGATAATGTTATTTCCTGGTGAAGATACAGTACAATGCATGAAAAATGCTACCACATTTTACAGACAAACCTGTATATGTTATTAAAACAGGGTTTGATATTTTGTAATGCAGTCCTTGGCTGAATCCCTAGATATGAATTCCGTTTTCATTGTCAAGAGTGTTATCGTAGTATTATCTAGAACTTCAATGTCTTTGTGGACATTGTTGTGAAATTGGTGACTTAATGTCTAGCTGTCATAAGTCTTCTTGCAAGACAATTAGGAACAGTATATACAGTATAGAATTGCTAAATGAGTGAAGTATGACACTTGCATTTGCTTACTGAGATTCTTATTACCTTCTCTTTGCTCCTATTACTTTATTGCCTTCTAAATCTATCGAGTATTACAGCAGTACAGTGTTCTGTTTTTTTACCGTCTAGATGGTGGATTGTTTAGGCAAAAACAACATGCATTTCAGTGCATTTTGAAATCAGTACAGTCCTGAAGCAAATTGAAAGCAAACCATTTAAAATTTTCTTCAAACAAATAAAAAACAATCCAGAAAACACAGAGCAAGATACATTCAGTGCCTTCATACAATATGCATTCCATAATATGCTACCCTGCTAAAATCAGTTGGTGCGATAAAAGCGGATCAGTGGACTACCATCATTGCCAAAAAAAAAAAGCACCTTTTTAAACAACCTAGAAGCAATGAAAGTCGTTGTGCTGCAAAATGGAAACACAATTTCAAAGGCATAAAAGTACTGTGTGTTTTGAGGGTTTGTTTCTTGAGAATTGAAAGAAAAGCTTCACAACCAGCCGAGCACATAATCATGATTTGTAGCCTTACATGTTTTCCAAAAACAAAACAAAACAAAACAAAGTAAAAACAATCAAATTCAGCTAGGGAAGCAAGAGATCAACCTGGTGGCAAAACATCAACAAAAACAATCTGTTTGCTCCAAAAGGCCATGACACCATGCCTACAGCTGTTCACGATCCTCTAAGTCTTTACTTGACCCAGGTGGCAACTTTTGAAACCATGTACAGCATTAAGCAATGTGCATATAAATTGTTATGGACAACTTCAGAATCTGAGAACTCTGACAAGTGCTAATAAGGCCTAGTGGTTAAAAGGATTACAGTTATTAGTTTCAAAAAAAAACAGCATTCTCTCAAATTCATGAACTCTATCAAATGGCTTACCTCCAAATATGAAATTTTATAACAACCTATGGTTGAAGGAATGCTCAGTTTCATTTGCCAATAAATTGGTTTCTCATAACTTGCATCAAGTTTAATTTTAAGTAAAGCTTTTTATATGTAGATATTTTGTTGAATTTGTAAATACACTTAAAGTGTAGATGCTATATGCTTATAGGTGTTACATACAAATAAACACAATCGAAATGTTTATGTTGTACTGTGTAAGAAGTATGATAGCCGGTGGAGTGCATGGGATTTGAAAGCATCTACTTATACATCTTTTTTTCTTTTTCTTTTTCTTTTTTTTTTTTGCTGTGAAACAAATAGTGAACTGTTTAATGTATCAACAGAAGGTTTCTAGATAAAATCTTCAGAGCTAATGCCTGTGAGGTACAATAGGCCTTAGTCATCTAGCCGCTTTTATGTGTGTAGGTAAAGCACAGTCTGAAGGAATCCCAAATGAAGATGGCCACATATTCTTTCATAGCACTGTATTTGCTTCTCCCAAATCAGCTTTCACATTGATACTAAAAGAAAAAAAAAGACAAAAAAAAAAAAGAAAAACAGATTGATCAGAGAGCACAAAAATAAATGTTACTAGGGATTTACCAATGTTCTTAGTAACAGAAGGAAAACAAGTACAATTTTACTCTTCTGTAATGGTAGATGCTAAATTTATCTGTGCATGAAGGGGTCACTTCTGTAATAGTGCAACAGATTTTGTAATTAAAAAAATAAATGTGGTTTAAAATTTCCATTCTTGGTTGTCATTTGTCAAGTTCCTTGTTGACTCTGCATGGCCCACAGGGAGGCTATGATGACCTCCAATAACTGGATCCCTGACTTGGTACTCTGTAAATTTGTGTGAAACTTCAGGTGTTCTAAGAACTAAATTTCTTACACCTGAGTCCTAGTCTCTGGGATGCCTGACTGTTACCATTCCCTAACACTGACTCTCCCCCTCTACCTCCTTCATTCCTTGGATAAACACTTGAATCTTAGACTTAATTCAGCTAATGGTGTTAATTAGTATATCATTTGTCATTCACATTCCTTTATCTCACCGTCTCTCCCTCCCAAAAAAAAGACTGATTTCCCAGTGTTCAGCTTCCTTTCCAACTTTCACCTCTGCAGCATCATCAGTCCAAAACCCAATCCTTTAGCCTCACTTACATATTCTGCCATTTGACCTTTTACCTAATTGGGGGGGGGGAGTGGAGGAATTTGTCTCGTCTCCCAATCACAGCATTCCTCGGCCTGGCCTACCCCACTGCTCAGAATCCAAGTTCTGACTCTCTGCATTGGACTCAATTTCCATTTCCCTTGCAGCTCTGAAATGTTACCTAATCTATTCTGTGAACATTTTTTAAATATAATAAACCCTAAAATGGGCATCTACAAGGATATTTGTCTGATGAACTGTCTTCAGACAGGCAGATGAGGGCACTCTCTCTCCACTCTTCATCTTCCTTTATTCCACTCCAGTCCACAACAGCAGTCTTAAAACTAAGGAATTGCTAATGCAGTTTCTCATAGAAGGAACGTGTTTTTGAAAGTGAGCCAAGTGCACATTAATTATCCTCAAGACACATGAGAAATGTTAGGCATCACCACCAGAGGGCTCCCAAATTTTCCAACCAATGCAAAGGAAATAGATACGTGAAAAGGAATAACAGTTTTCAGTGATTCTGAAGCCTGCAATAACTCAGGGAAAAGAATGAGTCTCCAACTAGTAAAGATGAAATTTGGAACATTTTTTTCTTGAAAAGTCTAATGCCAGAACTGTATAGTAGAACATTGGATTCAGAGGAAAGAAGAGGACTTGAGTTCCAAATCAGCTCTGCTCCTTACTACCTGTGTGACAAGTCATTTTATTTTTCCTGGCCTCAGTTTTGTCATAGGTAAAATTAGGGGGTTGGACTAGACAATCTCTAAAATCCTTTCTAGGTCTTTATCCTTTGAAATGTTATTGGTTCTGTGGGACTCGTGGAAATCTTGTTAGGTGTTACTGTCTTATTCATGTTAAAAGTTATTTTGTATTGATATATTTTGTTATCCCATCACCTTCATTTCCTAATATTTCCCAGCCCAGTGAGTCATCCCTTTATAGCATAAAGAAGGGGAAAAGGGAGGGCACAGTTTAGCAAAAGCAACCAATACATCAATACAGTCTGACAGTATGTATAATGTCACACACTTTTAGTCCTACATCTCTATGAAAAAGGGAGGAAGATTTAATTTCTCATCTCTTCTCCAGGACCACTTTTGGTCATTATAATAGTAAGGTATTCAAAAAAATTTTTTTGTCATTGTTTTTTCCACTTTTATTTTTGTAGTCATTGTATATATTGTTTTCTTGGTAATTCTTACTATACTTTGCATCACTTCATATGTCTTCACATGACTCTGAACTCCTCACATTTATCATTTCTTAAAGCATATTAATCCATTATATTCATTCATTCATTCATTCATGTTTAGTTACTTGCCAATCAATGAGCTTCTACTTTGTTTCTATTTCTGTGTTACCACAAGAACTTTTGCTATGATTATTTTCCTTGCTATGGGACCTTTATGTCTTGACATATACACCTACCTGTGGGATCTCTGAGTAAAAAAGTATGGACATTTTAGTTATTTTTTAATATAATTCCAAATTACTTTCCATAATGGTTGGACCAATTAAGAGCTCCACTAACTGTGTTTTAGTGCTTCCCTCAGCCCCTCCTATATTGATTATCTCCACCTGTTGTCACCTTTCATGTGCTTTCCACTGCCTGCCCTTAATTCCTGAGTTCAGGCTCCTCTTTGCCGGGATGACAAGATCCCTAAGCCCATCCAACAGTTGACAGTTTGCTCTGTTTAACTGCCAATACCTGTTTTTATATTGTCATTCCTACCTCCTCAAGGGGAAACCTCTATTCCTTAAATAATGTCCATAAGCATTTTCAAAGTGACAGATATAAAAATTTATATATACATATATGTGTGTATTTGGATTAGCCCTAAGTTCCCTCCTCATAGATATAGCCCCTTTGGGGATAGGGTTTTTAAAACATTCTTCTACTCAGTGAGCATGAATAAAACATATGAAGACTTGTGAAGTTTAGCTAAAGATTGGTCACTTTGGGGGCAACTAGGTGGCACAGTGGATAGAGCACTGGCCCTGAAGTCAGAAGAACCTGTGTTCAAATCTGACCTCAGACACTTGACACTTACTAGCTGTGTGACACTAATTTCCGACTGCCTCAACAAAAAAAAAGATATTGTTCATTTTCATGATATTTGAGCAAAGACTCATTGCACTCCCCTAAGACACTCCCATTAATAGTTGACCATATTGTCCTTTTATAAATAAAGAATCCCCTATAAAGAATTCTTTACTCTTTTCTCCCCATTCTTTGTCAAAGAATGTTTTCCATTGTCTACACCTCTTTCTTTCCTTCCTTGCATTTGTGTAATGTCCACTATGCCATCCTTAAATCCCTTGCTTCTTGACCTTTCAGCATTCCCATCACGCTAACCCTTCATCCTGGATAGATCTTATCATTTGTTTCCTCCCCTTTTGCTCCCAAGGGACCAAAAGGTAGAGGAAATCACAAAAGCAGAGTCTACTATTCATATTTGCTATCTTCCCTCAACTTGCACTCACTCTTGCACAACTAAACTATTTTTAATCCTGTATTGATTTTGTATCATATTCCAAACATCATTGTTCTATATCTTATCTTCTTTAGTCAAGCCCTCTTATATGGAGGAGATGGAAGTACATTAAAATGGGAAGTTTGTTCTTCCTGGGAAAGCAGTATTCCTGCTGTTATATAGCATTGTTCAACCAGAGAATTAAGGAACAGAAGGAACAAGGGCAGGGCATCAGCCTGGGTGGGGGGAGCTTTATTAGGCCGTAGGTAAAACTGGCATCCGGCTACGTCCAGTTCTGTTCCCCCAGAAGTCACTTGGGACAGAGACTGAGGGCCGATGAAAAGTGAATACCCCTGTGTGGAAGGGGGCTGAGGCAACTTTGAGGTCCAACTCTCAGGAGATCTGGCATCAAAGAGGATTCAGATAATGAGCAGCAGGACAATATATGGTGGGAAAAAGACTAAAATTACCAAGTTCTCAGTTTAAACCTTGAGCACCCACAGATAAACCAAATAGGAAGATATTAATAACCAAAGAGAAATGTGGCCTCCAGATCATCTAAACACGTCCATACATCTCCAAATAAATATCACAAGACAAAATAAATATAATCAATACCTAATGAGGAACACTCTATGGATCCCCAGGAGAGCATGGAACTATGGCAGAATTTCCTTAGTGGTTCAAGAGAGAAATAAAATGCAAAAGCAGAAGTTACGGCCTTCACAGCAAAAAAAAACAAAAACAAAAGAAAAACACGAAATAGGAAAACTTGAATGCACAATGATAAATCTCTCCAGAGAAACAAAAAAGGGAACTGATTAGGGGTGAAAATACACAGAAGTGAAGAACAATTTGGAAGAACTGAAGGACAATTTGGGAAAAGAGAAGCAAAAAAACATTGAAAGAAAACATGATCTGCATTCAAAGAAAACGTAATGATTTCAAAGGCAGGATGATTACTGACAGCTCATGGATTATGGGTCTCCTAGGAGAACACAAGCCAAAAACCTGAATAACATAAGGCAAAGAAGAAGGAAGAGGAGGAGGAGGAGAAAGAAAAAGGAGACTGCCCAAAACTTTTGAACCAAGGAAAAAATATGCTAATTGAAAGAATCCACAGATCACCTTCAGAACCTGAGGCCCAGAAAGTCAAAGTGTCTTGAATAGTCACACAGCAGCAGAGCCAGGAACTTGAACCTGCTACCGCTGTCCCTTGCACTTTTGTTGACTCCTAATCCTCTTCTCACTCCTAAATGTGGTTGTCCTTCAGGTCTTTGCTCTACATCCTCTTTCCTCTCTCAGTACTCTCTTCCTTAGTGATCTCTTCCTCTCTCTCATGACTTCAATTATTATAGATGATTCCCAACTCTATATTTCTACCAAACTTTTTTTGAAAAAATGAAGTCCAGCTTTTCCAACTGCCTACTGGACATCTCCACTTGGATGTCCAACTGGCACCTCAACTTTAGCACATTCCGAACTGAGCTCCTCATCTTTCCCCACATGCCCCAAGCTACTCTCTTCCTTACTCTATTTCTATTAATAACACCATCTTTCCAGTTCCCTTGAATAGACCTTTTGAAGTCATCTTTGTCTCTTGCCCTTCCCTCACCCACTATATCAGTTGCCACTCATCGATTGACATCAATTCTACTTCCACAGCATCTCACATCTGTCTCGTGTTCATCCCTCCCCCTGCAACTAACCTCATCTTTTATTAACTATACTTACTACCCATAGACTAAATTCAGCTGCTGACCTACTCTTTTTCAGCCTGCAAGCTCAGAATGGTTTTTACATTTTTCAAATAAAGTTTTGTTGTATTAAAAAATATGAAGACAATTCTTAGCTCAAGTCATACAAAGATGGCAGAGGGTTGGATTTGGCCCTTTAGGATAGTTTGCTGACTCCCATTGTAGACTGTGGTAATTGTCTCCTAACTAGCCTTTCTGCCTTCAGTCTTTCACCTTCTTAAGCCATCTTTCATATTTCTACTCAAATAATCTTTGTAATGCAACTCTCTTATTCTTCTCTGCCTCTACTCAAAAATTTTTAGTAGCTCTTTC